ATTAGGGTGTGTCAATTTGAAGCGATTTTTTTTTCAACGAAAAAACAGGCTGAAAACTTGCATGAAGGTGAGAAAAGAAGCCTGTTCAAAGCGAAGCTCTTAATATTAATATTTAGAGGTGTCTGTCCCTAATTTTCCATTTCCCATTTAAATAACATGGGAAAAAAAATTCTTTTTTTTGTTTATTTTTTTAGCTCGGCATACGCACCTCATATAAATAAGTCCATAGCATATTCTTGTCGAGAATTTAACGCTCTAGAAAAAAGGTCTCTTACCCTTTTATCATAGAGATAGCCGTTCTACGATATTTAAGATATTTAAACGTAAACTTCTAAATGTATAAAATTTTGACTATTCAAGTATTAAACTGATACAAATTAATTTATTACTGTCTTAAAAATTATTTTTATATGTAAAATTGATTCTGATGCGCTAACATTTTCATAAAGCTAAAAGAAAAATTACTAAAAGAAAAAATCTTCATGCAAAACGGGAATCATTCATGCGATAAAAGTCATTAGACTTATTGGGAGTTTTGACTTTATTATCTATCAAACCGCTATTTATTCAAATTTTACTAATCTTGATGTTTATTTCAGAATGAAAAAATATCTAAATTCTTTGAAATTAACAAAAAAACAGAAAGATAATCGTTTTAGTAAAAACAATATTGATAAAATTCTAAATGATATCACGGAAGAAATTGCTATGGAGGCTTTTTCTACTCCGCCACCTCAACCCCTTGTTCATGCAGTAATGGACAAAGTTAAATGTACTCGTGAAAGTCTCTTTGTTGGAGGTCAGTCATTAACAATTTAAAATTGAAATTTTTGAATAATTTATATTAAATTTTAGGACGTTATATGAAATTATCTCGTAAATTGAGCCAAACTCCGTGGTTTGTAAATGGACAGAAAAAAATGGAAACTTCTGTTCAAGATATACTCTGTAAACAGATTGTAAACTATACTCGAGCTGAATGTAAGTTTTTATATTATAAAAGAATGAAATTTCTATTGTAATTTTTATGTCCATAAATTTTTGTTTTTAGCTTTTAAATTCCTCTCTTCTGGTCGAGAAGACATTGATGTGCGAACAATAAATATCGGGAGGCCTTTCGCAATTGAACTAATAAACCCTAAAATCACAATATTTTCCAGTGAGACATTCCGAAAGCTAGTTGTACAAATAAATGACTCGTCAGAGCTAGTCAAAATCAGTTCTTATTTAAGAATATTATCACCGTAAGTTTTACTATAATTTAATATTTCCTGGC